AGAGGAAAAACAAACAAAGCACACAAATTCGAGGAGAAATTAACCTAATGACCGCGAAATGCTAAGGATGCGTAAGTTCCGCAATAGCAAAAGCGACTGTCACCGTTCGGTCGCGGCACTCTTGTAGACGGCGAGGGTTGATGCGATGGGATGCAGACAAGGTAGATCAGAAGTCCAAGCGTTGCTCGGGTTGAAGGTAGCTCCGGGCGCACCAAGGTCAGTGATCTCTCAGCGTTCGTCCTCCGACGCTGGGACGTAGCCCTGGAAACGAGACGAGCCTGGCCAAAGCCAGATGGTGAGAAGCCTGGCCAACACCAAACGACGAGCAGCCTGGCCAACGCCAAACGACGAGCAGCCTGGCTAACGCCAGACGACGAGCGGCCTGGCCAACGCCAGACGACGAGCGGCCTGGCCAACGCCAGACGATAGATGATGCTCGGGTGCCCGACCAGGTGGAAGCCCGCAGCAGCCTTGCCTCAGGAACTCGGCCGCCACCCCCGCGCCCTGGTAGCCTGCTTGCCTCCGTCGCGTCCCGGCCACGTCTGCCCCGTTCTTCGTTCGGGCTTCTTCCCAACAAGCGTGAGGGCCTCTCATTCGTCCGAACTTCACGCGCCTCGTCTGCCCATCATCTTCCTCACCGAATACATCGCGAAAGCGCGCGTCCACACCATTGGTCGTCGTCGTCTTCTTTCCTATGCCGGTGCACTCGCGCACATTTTAAACCGAACACTGGTTGCACTCGCGCACTTCACGAAACGCGCACTTCACTTATCACATCAGGTAAGCAGAAATTCATCTGATGAAGTGTTCAGGGACGTCAAGAATTCTAAGCTTTATGATTAGTTTATTGTGTGGAACTTTGTCAAAAGCTTTGCTAAAATCAAGAAATATTACATCTACTTGACCATTAGAATCAAGAGAAGAAGCGAATGAGTGAACTACTGTTATTAGTTGGGTTATCGTTGAATACCCTTTTCGAAAGCCATGCTGATGTTCTGTTAGTGCAGCATTATTTTCTAGAAATTCCCGAACACAGGTGGCTATAATATGTTCCACAAGTTTGCAGCATTGGGATGTCAGTGAAATAGAACGATAATTTTGTATAAGTGTCCTGTCACCTTTCTTGAACGCAGGAACAACCAGGGCTGTCTTCCAGTCAATAGGCAGTTGTGCAGTGATGACTGAGACACGAAACAAAATTACAAGAAAGTTTGCAAGAAGCTCGGCATATCGCTTTAGAAATATGTTAGGGATGTCGTCGGGACCAGAAGAACTCTTAGTTTTCAAGTTAAGAAGCATATTAAATGCCCCAGCATACGATACAAAACTCGTATCTAACTGTTTGGAGAATGTGCCGTCACACGCGCATACAGTTGCGCTAGAGAATACACTTTGAAAATAGTTGTTGAAGTGTTGAGCAATCTCACACTTATCTGTCACCGGCTTCCCGTCAACTGATACTTGAAAAACTGGTTTCTTGCTATCTTTTATGTAGTACCAAAACTGATCAGGCTCATTTTTTATGAAGTTAGGAAGCGATATTTCGAAATAATAATCTTTTGCTGCGCGAAGTGCACTAGCGAGATCATCTTGCATCTGACTTATTTTGTCATTCTGCACGTTTCTTTTTATATCTCTTATTCTGCGTTTTAGTTGAATGATTTTCCGATTCACCCAAGGCGTTTCCTTTTTAACTTTCTTCAGTTCATTGGGGACGAAATTATCCAGGCAATAGTGACACATGTCTTTGAATTTGTTCCAAAGTAATTGAGCGTTGTTGCCCTCAAAATCAATCAAACAGTTTTGCAAGTAGTCGACAATACTTTGGTCATTGGCATGAGAAAAGTCCTTAAAAGAACGTGCAGGGACGTGTTTATACTTTTTAAGTTGTTGAAGCGGTAATATTATGCTTACGAGATGGTGATCAGAGAGCCCTGGCTCCACTTCTACAGTGCAATCAGAAAAATCATGACTGATGAACGCCAGGTCTCACACAGAGCTAGATGAATTCTGTACACGAGTTGGTTCATGGACTACCTGCAATAAATTATACCTTAACATAATATCGAACATAATGCTAACGTGTTTATTATATGAGCTACTGGCAGCAATGCCTTGCCAATTTACTCCCGGCAGGTTAAAATCACCGAGAACATTTTTTTTATTTTCGTTCATTGACATTTCATTATTCAGCGTCTCTAATACATTCGTTGTGGCATCTGGAGGTCTATAAAGTGCGTACAACATCAAACTCTGACCCCAGATAGAGATTTTAACACGCAGGCTTTCGATACCTACTACGTCATCTAATAAAACCGCCTGACACTATCTTTAACTAAGATAGCCACGCCTCCGCCCCTAGCCTGCCGATCTTTACGAAATACTGTGTAAGAAGGGGGAAATGTGTCATTGTCACATATCTCCTCACTCAGCCAGGTTTCTGTTAAGACAGCTACATGAGGATCATACTGTAGCAACAAAATTTATAAGTATTTGTTTTGTTTTTCACACTGCGGGCGTTTACATTCAATAATCGGACATGTTTAGGGCTTTTAAAGGCATCATGTCTGTCGCAAGATAATGCCGATGTATTATCGCGCTGACCTTTCACGTGCATGGACTGTGCGGTTTTTGTTGCTTTAATACGTTTGTTAAGCGTTTCGTCCCAATAAAAGTATTCTTTATGTATTCTTAGTCTGTCGTGAATAAGCGAGACCTTCTTCCCGAGTTGCTTTTCACTTTTAGCACTTTCCCACAGTAGTTTGTTTTCTTAATGTTAATGCGGAGTAGTCATTCTGGACAAATATTGAGCTGCCTTTTAGCTTTTTTTACATTAGCGAAGATTTTCTGTTTTTCGTTGAAATCTTGGAGATATATGATCACTGGGCGCTTGCCTTTGTGATGTCCAAGCCGATGAATGGGACCAATGAATCTTCATTTCACGCCAAGTTTAATTTCGAACTTGTCTTTCACAACCTTATCCTTAAGCGACGTTTCGGTTTCATCGGATGATTCGGGTATTCCATGAACTATCAAATTAGACCGTCTGCTTCGGTCCTCCAGATATGCAAGTTTTTTCGCTTGAAAGTTTATGACATGCTTCACTGACTGTAGCACTGCCTGTACTTTACCAGCTTGTCCTGAAGGAAGGAAGGCTTCAGGGCTACTTTCGAATATTTTATCGGTAAGTCTTTCTGTCGTCTTTATTATGTGCTTATTATGTCTGCTATTTCTGTCTTTAATTCACTTAAGCCACATTGCAAGGCCTTCTGGCCCGGAAGCAGCTCTTCGAAAATTTCTTTTTGGGTAGGCCCAGGGTTCACTTCCACGTCACCGCACAACAGCAACTTCAGCATAAACACACATTCATAAGCAATGCTACAGCACCGTTTGGGGCCACGGCAGGACCACTAGGCCAGGACAGTCACTTCGAAACGTACAGTAATGAGAACTAACCTGCAGCACGAAAAACAGTTTCCTGCTTAGCGTCATGGCATTGCCAGGTCCACCGTGCCCAATGAAGTGGTAGTCGTGAGGCATCTGTTTTATATCCCCGGCTGTTGATGACGTCACGCCTCGTTGGTCGATAGGTGTCGCCAGAAGTTCCACTCTATCATGCGATGGCGCTAGTTGATTTGATGACGAGACCTAATTGAAAAGCTGGTATGCATCGTTGGCTTGGCGCACCTCGTGGCACACCTGACAAGTCGTTGGTAAACCAGCGGCGATTCCTAGCAAACCCTGCAGTACGAAAAACTGTTTCCTGCTTAGCGTCATGGCATTGCCGGGTCCACCATGCCCAATGAAGTGGTAGTCGTGAGGCATCTGTTTTATATCCCCGGCTGTTGATGACGTCACGCCTCGTTGGTCGATAGGTGTCGCCAGAAGTTCCGCTCTATCATGCGATGGCGCTAGTTGATTTGATGACGAGACCAAATTGAAAAGCTGGTATGCATCGTTGGCTTGGCGCACCTCGTGTCACACCTGACAAGTCGTTGGTAAACCAGCGGCGATTCCTAGCAAACCCTGCAGCACGAAAAACAGTTTCCTGCTTAGCGTCATGGCATTGCCGGGTCCACCGTGCCCAAACCATCTTTTTCACCATCTGATTTTCCGGCACGGTGCACCTCGTGAATTACTGAGTGACCGTGGACGCGTGTTTTTCTCGAACGCCGTCCACGAGCTGCTCAAGGAATGTCGCACTGTCCATCAGAAAACCTCGGCACACTATCCTCAAACCAATGGCATGACAGAACGCTTTGGTCGTACCCTTGGAGATATGCTTGCCATGTACGCGTCTGACAACCACACTAATTGGGATGAAGTGCTCCCTTTTGTAACGTACGCGTACAACCCTGCGCCACAAACAACCACCGGCATCTCTCCTTTCTTCCTCTTGTACGGACGTAAACCATCATGCTCCATGGACACCATTCTCCCTTACAGGCCTGATGTTTCCGAAGCGTCGCCTGTTTCGGAAGCAGCTGCTTATGCCGAAGAGTGTCGTCAACTCGCTCGCTCGTTTACCGCGCAAGACCAGTGGCGCCAGAAAACTGACCACGATAACTGTGCATCTAGTGCCCACTATAACCCAGGAATGTTGGTTTGGCTCTGGGTCCCGTCTACCCCTCCCGGTCTTTCCCCAAAGTTTTCCTCGAAATACCATGACCGTATGATGCGACAAACATCTCCCGTCAACTATGAAGTTGAGCCCATTGATCTACCTTCGGACTCACGCTGCCGTGGGCGTGAAACGGTTCACGTATCACGCCTCAAACCGTGCTATGACCCCCTTGTCGTGTCATTTCCTTAGATCACCAGACTGGCTCTTTTCAGCACGGGAAGTAATTGTACCGGAGCATAGTGGCGCCAGCTCTGTGCCAGCGTGAAAGAAGACATTGACGTCCGTGTGGCTCGTGCTTGTCGGGTTCCTGCCTGTACCAGCTTGTTGCGGCTCACGCCTCTTGAATAATAACAAGTGTTCTGGCGACGGTACTGACGTTGCTCCAGGGATGGTACCTGAGGTGAAGTCCAAGGGAGCGTGTACGGCGTCCCTGGGCAAGGAGGCGGTTTGCGAAGCCAAGTCAGTGGAGTCACCTTGTGGTTTGGCAAGGACGCCTGCAGGCAGCGCGCTGGCTTCGGTACCCGCGGTGGCCAGGTCGGATGCCATGGCCACGGTAGCAGGAGCTGCGGGCTGCTGGAGAGTGCGTCTGCTCCGTAGGACGGTTTCTTCACGCAGATCGTCGCACACAGGTTCGTTGAACGGCTGCGCCATTGTAATAAGCGACACAAACACAACACCCGATCGTCGGGCAAGCTGTTTGTTAGATTGTTTGTAGCCTCTAATCCATGGCTCGTACCCACTCTGGGGGATCGGCCAAGAGAACATGCAGTCTCATATGGACGATAACTGGATTATTGCTTACAACGAAAAAAAAAGGGGGGGGGATTTGTATAGTGAAGACAGTATGTCAAAAAACAGAAAGAAACCAAAGATTTAGATAGTTAGAAAAAAGAATCAACAAGAAAGTAGACACTAATAGCTATAACTTGATTTTGGGAGCCGACCAGACAGCTGGTTTTGCCAAACCCAATTAATTTGGTATGTCACAGATTTATCCAGATTTGGAAAATTACTTTTCGACGCGGTTTTTTATTGAGTACCTGTTAACGTGGGCTTTATGTTGAAAAACGTTTAGAGTCTTGAATAAAATTACACACCGCTTCGAATGCATCTCTGTGGCAATTTCCCAAAACAGAGGCACCAAAACTTAGAACATTTTCTGTGGTTAAATTTAAACCTAGCTTCGCAAATGGAATATCTAAAAGTCGTTTTTTAATTAATGCATAGTTACGACATGAGCCAAAATAATGTTCAATAGTTTCTGATTCTTCGCAAAACGGACAAAGGGGGGAAAGTGTCAGACCAGCTCTGTGTAAATAAAAATTTAATGGGGAGACATGGCACCGGAATCTGGAGATTATAATTTCAAGTTTTTTTGACGGACTCCACGGGGCTTTCCATGAAAATTTGAGGTGCTGATAATCTGTCCATTGTGTGATATTTTCTAAACTATCTGTAAAGATAGCAAATTTCCTATATCTAACCCCTGATAAGTATTCTAACTCGGGAAGTACTGAAATTACTTGTCCATCGAGTGATGCTCGTGCCAAAGCATCTGCCAATTCATTTATTTGTAATCCGCACTGACCTGGGGCCCACACTAATTTGAGGAGTTTTAAATGTGGCGGTGCTAATGTGTGGAACGCTGCTAGGGCACGAGATTGTTCGGAGGTTGTCAGAACTGCACACACCAAAAGTGAGTCTGTTAGGATTATTGCACTGGTCTCGGTCATAGGAATTTTACGAAGAGCTAAAATAATAGCTACTAGCTCGGCTTCAAATATAGGAGTGAAATCTGGAAGCCTTACTGAAAAAGACCAGCCGAAGAAATCAGACGGAATTCCTACGCCTGTCTTTTCATTGTTGACAGAAGCATCTGTAGCTATTACATTTTTTGTTTCTGCATGTACCAAGTAATCGTTTAATGTAGTGGTCAAAAATCTAAGAGATTGCAACTTGGCTTGTGGGGGGAAGATTTCATCGTACTCTATTCTAATGTTGAGGGTTGAGGAATTAGTTTCAATTACTGTGCTAATGTCTACATTTATGCAATTCAGTTTCTTTTTAATGAAAATTATCTGAGGGGTATGCAATCGAGGTCAATGTGCAAGAAAGAAAGAGTCAGGGTCGCTGATAAATGCGTAATCTGATCTTCGCGCCGGTAAACTGTAAAACTTTAAGAAGGTTTGAACCGTTAGAATGCGGAATCGACAGAGGAGTGTTGGCAATCGCGCTTTTTGATACAACATATTATTCGCCACGAACCTGGGAAGTCCCAGGCATATTCGCAGGGCTTCTTGCTCTAACATTACTAGTGGTTTAATTTTATAACCAGCCGCCCCCGAGAATAATACACACCCAAACTCCAATATTGGTCGCACATACATTTTATATATCATTAACATCGTGTGTCTGCGCAGCCCGTATTTTCTGTTGCTTAACCTGCGTAATAAACCTAACGCCCTTTGTGCCTTTGCTGTTATATATTCAATGTGTGGGCTCCAGTCTAGCTTTTCATTATAAATCATTTTTAAGTACTTGACTGAATCTACTTGTGGAATAGGTTCCCGATTATACAATACAAAAATTGAAACTGTATCTGCTATAGGAAACACCAAGAGCGCACTTTTACTGATGTTCAATGATAATGAAAAGGATTGCAACCAAATTTCTATTGTATTAATATATCTTTGCAGTTTTTGATGTAGTGAGTAAATGTCGCTCTCTGCAGCGAAGAACGCGATATCATCTGCATAAATGTAGACACTAACATCCTGAACAATTGAATAGAGCTCATCAGTATATTGAATAATGCTGGAGATAGGACGGACCCTCAGGGAACACCACGTTTCTGTTTGAATTTATGCGAACAACAGCCATCCTTCACGCAATAAAATTCCCTTGATTTTAGGAATTCTGCTATCTACTCAGTAATATACTGAGGAAACTTTAGACTCTGCAACGGTGGTCAGTAGAATAGAGTGCTCGACACTGTCGTACGCTTTAGCTATGTCGAGAGTTACTAATGCGGCGTACTGTTTCCTTTTACGAGCAAGCTGTATTCGACTCTCTAAATCCGCATGGGCGCACTAAATTCAGCATTCACAACGAAAACCAATTTGATTTGGCTTTAATGTGACCTTTTTCGTCATCCAGGAGTTTATTCGGCTCTTCAGGACCCTCTCTATGAGTTTCACTATGTTCGAAGTTAGCGAGATAGGTCTGATGTTTTCTAAGGTAAAACCTAATCCTTGCTTTTTTATTGATGGGATTACCTTAGCTATTTTCCAGTCATACGGTATCCAGGCATTCTTTAAAGAGTAGTTTATAAGATTGAGGACGTCGCCGGGGGATAGCTTAAATAAAATTTTAATCATACGAACTGTGATTCCATCTGGACCAGGAGCTGACGATGGTAGATCTCGAATTACTTTTGATGCTTCCGACAGTGTTAAGTTTTCGAAGTCAGTGCTTATGCTAGACTTTTGCAAGTTGAAAGCCATAGTCGAAGAAAATCTAATTTCTAGACCTCTGCCAATTGACTCTAAAGAGTTCTTCGTTTCTTCCAATGATAGTTTTTTATAATCAGTATTGACTGTAGACGGCAGGATTTTGCGAGATCGCATATATTGAAATAAAGCTTTTTTATTTTTAGGTTTCGAGAGAAAATCGAAATGTCTTTTATTATATTCTTCTTTAGCTTGGGCCACCGTGTGTTTAAATATAGCGGAAAGAAATTTATAATCTGACCAGTTATTAGGGGACTGATTATGTATTAGCTTCTTCCAAGCTGCCTGTCTTCGTCTGTGATCTCGTGAACAGTTGGGATTCCACCAAGGGCTATAGGGTACTCTTTTCACCGATTTAACAGCAAATTCAGTGTTTTTGTATGCCCTTTTAATTACTGCGCTTAATTTCATAGCTTTATTGTCATCTCCATCCAGAGAGGGAGCGTCTAAATTTCGTATAATTTATATAGGTCCGGGCATGGAAGCATGATGATTTGACGGGGCAAGTGATCTCGAACAATATTGGAAAGTGGTCACTGTTGGAGGTGCACTCAAGGGCTGTCCACGACGTACTAGCAATGGCCGAGCTTACAAAGCTTAAGTCTAACGCGGAGCGTGAATGACCTCATATCAATGTGGGAGTTCTAGCGTTAAGGCACAATAAGTTGTTGTCTACCGACCAGTCCCACAACCGTTCTCCACACTGATCTGTTCTAAAACCCCAGCAGGTATGGTAAGAGTTGAAGTCGCCAACTATAATTTTTTTCTTTACAGCATGAATTAGCAGCCATATCTAACAATCTCGTGTCTTGAACGCCTACAGGAAAGTAGACGTTTATTAGCGAGAAAGGCAAGTATCCTGGCAAGGTAATATCTAACGCGAAAATTTCGCATTCAGAAGACATACATTTGTATGAGTTTTTGACTTTTAAACTAATTTTATTGTTTATAAAGAAAGCTAAACCTCCAACCTTTGGATGGACGGTCTAGACGAAAGGTTTGGAAGTTGGGCAGGTGAAATAAATGATGTTTGGAAAGCCAAGTTTCTTGTAATGCAATAATAGCCGGATCGAATTTAGAAGACAGGTATAACAGATCTGTTATGGCTGAGTGAAGAGATCGGCAATTCCAATGTATAATTTTAAGAGACCCTATGATTTCGTTGAAATGGTTTCGGCAACTACCTTATCTAAAATACTTTCTTTTAGAAAATCGGTTTTTGAAAGGTTGTCTTTCTGGTATTTCTTGCATTTTACATGTTTCGGCTAGCCAGGTTTTTTCGGTACAGGGTATCTAGAATGCTTTAGGCATTTGAGATCTATGTCCATATCTTGTGTGTCCTGAGAAGCTTCCTGTGCACCCTCGCTCTGCCTCTGAACGCCTTCTCCAGAGGGCTCTGCAGACTGTGCATCTGGTGGAGTTATCTCAGATTCTGCCTCACTTGTCGGGTGTGTAGACTCAGCATTTTCTACAGCCGTACTTATATCTATCTGTGCTCCATAGACTAGTGCGATTTGGTTATTCACAATGTGCGACAGCGACTCACATAGGGTGGTAGCAAGGCGTTGCATAGCCTTATCCACAGCCTTCTCGATCATGTCCGCAATTGATAGAGAAAAGGATGCTTCCATTGCTATGTTATGGCGGGCAGCTGCTCCTGCATACCCTTGAGTTCGGGCTTGAATTTCAGCAATGGCATACTTTCGGGAGCATCGCCTTCTGTCTACAATTTCAAGGATTTGGATTTCACGTGCCTTGGCTGCGCAGTTTGGGTTATCAGCGCAGTGTGCTTCATGGCAAAGACAGCACTTTTCTTCATTACTTTTACGTTGTTTGAGTTGTGCGTCTCACCTCAAATTCTGCCTCTAGGTACTGACCTGCATCCTTTCACTGTGTGCCCATAACGCCAACACTTAATACACTGTAGGGAACGAGGTGATAGTGGCTCCACTCTGTATATTAAAGGTCACGCTTTGATTTCGGTTGGGTGATTCGACCCGGCAAATGTAGCAATCACGGACTCCGTTGGGACCTTGTTCTTGTCCACAACTCGACTACATCTATAGATAGCTATCACACCTGCTTCTGAAAACATATCTAATATCTCAGTTGGGGTCAAATTGACATCGACACCCCGAACGA